TTCTGATGGGACAACTGTAAATGCTAAGCAGCATGCTTATGTTGCCTACTGAGGAACTTTTTTCCTTTTTGCTTTCTGAGGAACTGTTTTCAGGTTATATTATAATATTATAATGCATTTGTGACAACTGATAATCAATAATCCATCAAAGGCAGGAACAAAGTGAGAAATATAATTTAAATTAAATAGAATTTAAATATAAATATAACAATCAATTATATGAAATGTTTAAAACACTTTTTGTAAAACACAACATTTAATACCAACAAATATGGTTAAAATTGTTTTGAATAATATAAATATTTATTTGTATGATGTATTTTGGTGCTTAGGATTGCAGATTATACAATCCCATAATGCAACAAGTGAAAAAATCCATCTGGGCGAATTGAGAAATGTTTATAAATATAATTTAGATATAATAAAACATATTTGTGATAATTTATAATCATATTTATTTAATATAAATTTCTTGTATTATATTTAATTTATTATAATTCATTTAATACCAAAAAGTATGATTAAAATATTTTTTAATAATTTTTTACAAATATTTATTTGTATTATGTATTTTCTGCTTACAGTGTTTTGTTGCATATAACGCAATGCCATTATGCATTTGCACAAGAGGAAAACATACATCAAAGATGGAGGACGAAGTCAAAACTGTTTAGAAATATAATTAATAATCATTAGAAATATAAATAAAATATATTTGTAATAATCAGTTCATAAATCCTCCCATTAATTAGAGGTGTTTTCACCTCCCTTTCATACAGCATTGTGTATTAACAAACGTGTATGTGCATGTGGTTTACCTTATTGACCTTTGAAGTTGCTGGATGTGACTAGATATGAAAGAGGTTGTATATTTTGACCCGATATAGCATAAATGTGTGTATTGATTGCTATGGGATATTTCATTTATTTATGCATACATTCGAGCATTTGGCAGAGGTTGTTATCCAAAGTGTACTTTTCGTCCCTGGAAACTGAACCCAAGGCCTTGGTGTTGCTATCACCATATGTACAGTATGTGAGTGCTTTTGTATGCTTGAGTCTGAATATGAGTCTGTGGTGTGTGTTTATGGCTGTGGAAGGGATTGAGTCTGATCTGTTTGTTGGTCTTTCTCATTAATGTAGGATTTGCAGCATTAGGCGTCTGGCACCGTCAGCAGAACTAAAGCTGCAATGAGTCAGGGACCCCCTCGCCAGGTGTCTTCATAAACACACACCTGTTACCAGAAACACACAGACTTCAATGTGTGTGATGTATAAAGAGCTCAGAGGATGTCTTTGTTAGTTTGACTATATTGTAGCAGGTTTTGGCATATTGAGACTGTTCAAAAGAAGGAATGAGAGAACAAAGGGTGAAAACCCTCGTCTAAAAGGGTTATTTTGTTTAGATTTTGATTAATGAGAGACAAAAAAAGAATGAAATATTAAAATAACTGCTTCTCAAGGTCAGAACTTTGCATCAAATTAAAAATATCTGGAGGAAGTCTTACTTAAAGGAGCAGTTCTTTCCACAATGTGAGATATTTTGGGAATGTCCAATATACCTTTGCAATTTAAAGGCTGAAATGCATTATATCTGCCTAGATTTTTGGCCCAATTTGCACAAGTTTATATGCTTTATATGCATATAAACTTTATATGCATAAATCTCTCATATTTACCAATGTCCCTGAGGTCAGTTCCACTTGCAATGTTTGTATCCACTTAGCTGTATCTTAAATTACACTACCAAATTGGCAAATATTGCTTGATAAGCACAAATTCCAATTTTTTAGCTACAAACTATAATTCCATTTAGCCAGAGGAAATCAAACATGATTCATTTTTTTGAGCCAGTTTTAGACTGCATATTGTTCTCATTTGTCATGCATCTGCTGTGAGTTTGTTGTGTTTGGACTGACTTGAAACTTGGCCTCTACTTTACACACACACTCGCATATAAACACATGTACACACTCTCATTATTACCAACATACAATCTCTAATCTCTCAATCTCAATCTTCTAATGCTAATGACTCTTCTGAATACTAAGTAGGGTGATTATGTTGCCTTCTGATGTACTTTTTATTTTTGAACAAATTATTTGCGGATAATGCGTGTTTATAAGTATAATTTATGATAAATATAAATCCAATAATTTTTTTTAAAATTTATTTAACATAATTGTAATTAATTTAATAGCAGAAAGTATGGCTAAAATTGTTAAGAATAATTAAAAAATATTTTAATAAGTTTGGTAATGAGTGATCCGGAGATGTTTAGTGTATGCCCAGTGTAAACGCTGTATATTCCAGCCTAAATTTTAGCTTTCAAAATCCTGTCAACCATTGTTCCCAAACTCTCATCACTGGTTCCGGCAGAAGTCGACATGCCACTTAAAAACAAAACACAAGTCACAGAGTTTACACTCTTGCCAACCTGCGAATAGCTTATAGTTGTCTCTGCATATTAAACTGGGATATTTTAAAAGTATCAGAAAAATTACACACTTCATCTCTAACTGTGACTTATCCTTTGTGGCCTCCTGTGCTGTTGGATATATTTATACCTAAGCTGGGCTGTTTAGTTTACTTAATATGTGTAAATGTGTTTCATATTTGCCAACATCCCTTAATTAGGTCATATCCACTTGCAATGTTTGTATCCAGTTGTATAACTGTATCTTAAATTATATTACTCAGTTGGCAAATATTGTTGCTTCTCAAGTAAATTTATCTAGTTTAAAGGGTGTCTTTCTTACTAGAAAACAAGACGAAAGTACATATTAAAGGAGACATATTATGCCCCTTTTTACAATATGTAATATAAGTCTCTGGTGTCCCCAGAATGTGTCTGTGAAGTTTCAGCTCAAAATATTCTACAGATCATTTATTATATCATTTTGAAAATGCCTATTTTGAGTGGAAGCAGAAACACGCTGTTTTTCGGGCCTGTCTCTTTAAATGCAAATGAGCTGCTGCTCAC